AAAAAAAAGACAAGTTTCAACGAATGACTTAAGAGCAATGGATTGGAGTATCAACGGCTCCGAAACGCGTACGAGTTCCTCTTTACGATGTTCCGCCAGTCGTGCGATCCGCTTGGCAGCACCAACGACCCGCTAATGCGAGCAGCAGTGGCGACGTTACGGGCCGACCAGATCGCTCTCGGAGTGGCTATGACTAACCCAAGAACCACCTTGAAAGCGCGCCAGCATTCGGACTTTCTTCAGGTTATTGCTTAGAAATTGCGGAGCTAGCAAGGCTTACTCATACTTGGTTGTTTTAGCAACAAATGAAATTGGCAGAGTTGAGCCCAATCGGAAGTGGAACAAAGTTGCCACCAATGCCGCAGCTATCGTACGCGGCTTCGACGACGTCAATGGATCCTCAATTCCTTCAAAACCTTCTGGTACAACAGCTCATGCATATTGCATCTACTCCACAGTTAACACAATAACAAACATAAGTATCTTAACGTGTCATATGTGGTCCGAGCGCGGTTCATACCATTTACTGGTAATTACAGTCCGTTTCAGTAAAATCTCCTGCTTTCTTATTCTCATTCCTTGTAGTCATTCATGTGATTTTTTGGACGTACTCCAAGTTGTCTTCTAAGAGCCACATGCGCATATGAACAGGGTTCATTCTCGTGCATATATTTTTTATTTGTACAAGGTCTTTATCTTGATTGTATGTGAGATTTATGTATAGATTGATTTACAATACTCTACCAAAGTGTAAAGAAGTTGTTTGGTCTATAGACTTTCAGTTGAACAATCCTTCCTCGTGCGTTTTCTAAAATTTTTGATCCTATTTCGATTGAAATGTTAGTGGAAGCATGTTTACCTCATTCAGATTTCTATTGTTTGGTTTCACTAGTGTCGTCCATGCAATGAGTTAGCTAGCATTGTCATGCGGAGTAGTCAGCATTACCGCAAAGTCTAGTCGAGTACTTTTGAATTATGGGTGTAGCTGAGAATAAACAAATCATTAAGAGAATAAATTCTTTAATTTCCTCATTCCCTTTTCCGTCATCGTTTGAAAGAACAAGAAAACGAAAATTTTCATTTATTTCCTTAGGTGAACCAGGAAGAGCGGAGAAAGCGAATAAGATGTAATCCACTTTCGGGTAAGCTTACCATCGTAGTAAACAATATTTGCACATTCTCTTCATTCTTTTGGTGTTCCCATGGTTAATAATCACATATTGTTTATCCTACGCAGGAAAATAATGAAATGTTATCAAGTTTGCATAGTAATTATGACAAAAATAGTGATGTTTTGAGTACCATGGTGGTTTCTGGCAACAACATCCTATTACGTAAACAGTCAAGGATTTGAAAATTAGTTCCCCAGTTTTCAACAGATAGGCTGGATATTGAAGGTGCCCTATTCTAACAATGTGCATCCGATCTAAATTGCCCGATCCCTATGAAGCATAAGCGTGCTTGCATATTTCGCAAAAATCGGTCGATCCACAAAGCCTTACAAATGAATCAAGGGCAACGCCAGCTATACGCTTGGCCACACAAGAAACTCAGCCGTACTCGTTCGCTTCATAATGGTAAACGTTTACGAACTTGGTGAGTATTTGATCCTTGTTATTGCAGCTTTGAAGCTTTTACTAACTTTTCAAGTCACATAAAATTGGGTGCTCCACTTATAGTGCCTTAGAATCCCAAGATTGTGGGTTTTGCTGAAACGTCGCTCGGAGAGGTAGTTTGGTAGACTCCATCCACAGCTGACGATGAGAGGTATGGCGGGCATGAGCAATTGCTGACTGCACGACTTCTTCTGGTGTCAAGAGGCGTCAAAATGGATGCATTTTGGGTACGATTTTGACTCGAAATTCTATACAATAAAGTGTTGAGTAAATGAAAGGAAGTCTGTTGGAAACATAGTGATCCGAACTTACACCTAAAAAGCACTTTTTTAAACAAAAATCATTAATATCACGAAATTGTTCATTCTGAAACTACAAAGCCACTGACGAGCAAAAGGTTGATCCGTTGACGGTTGAATTAACAAATGTAGCGTAAGTGTGACCCAATGGTTAGTAGTAATGTCTACATCCTGAAGACTTGCTTCATGCAACTGCAATTAATAAAGGGGTATCGCAGTATAAGGTCACACTGTATTAAAGGGATACCATTCATATTTGGTTTTTGTTTTGTTATATATTCTCCTACTTCAACAAATTATAAATAATCATTAATGACTAGTAGATAGTTCCCACAATTGTCTCCGTAAAACCTATTTTAATCACCACAATTCCCTGACTGTATCAAACTGAATTTCGTCTATCCTTTCCTCAATGCTGACATTCCATCTCGGGTATGTGGTCAAACGCATAATCTTGACCTCAGTATAGAAGAATATGACATCCGCTTCGCCTGATAATTTCTTACCGTAATCCTATCGCAAGACCTTATCTTGGAAGCGAATATCATATTCGTAATCAATATGTCAAATTACCCTGCGAGAGCACTTTAAGGCGAAACCATAATTTTGATCTTTTGCCTTGTACTCATCCTACAGAGAGGTCCTAGCGCCACTGAATCTGGTTTCGTGACCATCATGCTAAATTATCCTATTAGGTCAACGTTCAGGAAATTTTGATTTGACCCTATACGGCCTACTACCGCATCCCACAGTAAAAGGGGCGGGATGGATATGCTGCAAGCAGTATGTCAAATCACCTCTCTGAGCAGAGTTTCAGCGAAATCCGAAATCTTGAGTTTTTGAGACACTAGGTGAAAATGTAATGAAATCCATTGGCTTAGATGTTCTCTAGGAATAAAAGTTTGCAATAAAGTCGTTAAGTTGATATACGTTTCAGAAACCTCATTTTTAATATTTGAACAAATTGGTTGGGTTTCTCATTCCCAGTAGCAAAGCAGCTCCATGGCACCTTTGTTCATTCTCTGCCGACCCCGGACCTTAGTTTTTTAGAAGCCAAATTTCGAACGGAAAAGCATGAATAGTTAGAAGTTGAGCTGGATTTCGGTTGATATTGATGCGCCGCACCGCAACCGCCTGTAGTTAAAGCATTCGAAAGTTGTTCAATTGAATGAATATCAAGAACTCGTGGTAAAAATATTCGAACGGATAAAAGATGATCAAATCGCCATTTTAAAATGTATTTGGTTTTGCATTTGAATCGTGGAGGTCCCGAATTCTCGACTATCCCAATCATGGTTAACTGGATCTTATCGACTATTCGAATATTCGGCTATTGATAACCGAATGGTTCCTTTTTCAAGCAAATGTTGACCACTCGAACGTCCAAATAATTGGGTAATTATATTTCAGTTGAACACGCATATTCGAACTTGATTAAATAGGATAATTTCGTAGGTATTGGATGAACGAATGTTATTCAAATCTCAGTTGTGGAATATCAAAACTCGGTGTCAATATTTCGAAATTTAACTACTTGAATAGATGTTGAGAAGTCGAATAATTGTGTTTTCCCGAATATCGTTTATAAATACTCGAACTATACCAATTATTCGAATGTTTTTCCAAACTATTTAAGCTTAACACAATATTAACGCCGCACGCTCGATCAGCCGATATTATCGCGCGATCATATACGCCAATTCTAACGTCTATATCATATGCAGATTTGCTATGTGCGCAGATCATGCTAAAGAATAGAAGGCCGATTTCCGCTGGAAACTTAACCCAATTTTCTAGCGATGTTGTTAATTTCTAGAGTATTGCTTGGTAATATTTGTATTTTCAGAAGTCTTAAAAAAGAGTTAAAGAAGAGTGCGCGGCATAGATATGAGAATCAAGCCAGTTTTAAAAAAA